TATATAGGAAAATTTTGGATTAAAAGCATTTTAAATAAAATTATACCAATATATTAATGAGAAATGTGCATAAATAGTAAATTTATATCAAAATATTTTCAGGGAATATATAAAAAAGCATATTCTCAACTGTTAATTATAATGTTTTAAAGAAGAGAGATTGATAAGATTGATTATAAATATGAAAAGGTTTGAAAGTGATTTGATGTTGAAGGAGAATCATAAGTATTTGAATATAATTACAAAAGAAGTTGTAGTTATTGTTTGATGAAATCATTACCAAAAGCTATAATCGAGATAATTTTAAAGATTAAGTTCTCCTTAAAGATCCCAATAAAGGTTGAAATTCTATATTATTCTCTAGGCTAAGATTTAACTTAATGAACTTATTAAGAATTAGTGATAATTAAATAACAATATCAGCAAGAAAATATTCCATTCCATTATACTACAGGATAAAAAAGAAACTACAATTCATACCAATTAGAAGAACTTGGTTACACAGATATATCTTATCAAATTCAAAGTATTGAGGAGATACCTTTGTCTAAAAATTAACATTAAAATTTATCGAAATTATGCATTTTTACTATTACCTTATTTTAGACTGATAAAATTTAAATAATTCTTTTTGACGTATTTTTCGTTGATGAAAATATCTAACTCTAATTTGATATCAGTCATTATTTCATCTTAAGTCCCATTTAAGAAGGAAGTGGCATATTGCATTTCTTTTCTAAAACGATATTTTTTCAAATTCAAATCTTCTTTAACTAATAGAAGCTTATAAGAATCTTTAAGATTGCTTTCAGCTCAGAAACATATTCTGCCTTCATAGAAAACATTGCATGGTGTTCCATTTTTTAATCTACAATTTTATTTTATGAATTTATAAAGTTATATTAATATAAATCTCTAATAAACTATTATTAATATTATTATTTAAATTCCTTCATTTTTATATCATTCCATCCACAACTATGAAATTATTTTGATGGAATAATAAAATATATATATCAAAGTCTTTATTGTAAATTTCGTCATCTGAAATAGGTATTCTTTAAATCTACACGAAAAACCTTTTGCCAGAACCCTCTTATCAAATTTACTCTTTCTGAATAAAGAAAATTCCAAACAATTCTAATTGAATTTTAAAAAGAACAATCTTTTTAAAAATAATACAATTTAAGTTATTTACAATCTAAAACTGGTACTCTTACTCTTTAACTCAATCAAAAATCAACATCAAAAATTTAAAGACTATTAAACTTATTTGAAAGAACTATAAACTAATTATGAAATTATCGAAAAGTATTTGGAACAATTAGCTGAATAAACATAAAAAGGCTAAAAAAGTCTAAAGAAATGATCAAGTAAGTGTGTAATTCTCTTCCATCATATGTTGAAGCTTAAGAATTAGAAAAAGCATTGTGTATGATTACATCTTATTTTGTAATTTGAATCTACTATTTAGATAAAGTTGATTTAATATATAATTGTTTTGTGCTGTTGCGTGTGCAGTTTTATTTTTAAAATTAATTTTCATATATAATTTTAATTTATTTAGGGAAGCTCCTTATTCTCCAGGAAATTTTGAAAAATTTCTTTTTTTCTTTACAAATCAATTTAATTTCTTATAAGTTATTCTGCTTTAACGTTGAAAATATAAAATTAAAATAAATTAATATTGTTGATTATAATATCTAAGTAATGGAAATCTTAAATTAAACATAAATGTAAATCAGTGATCTTTAATGAAAAATAAGTTAAAATTAGAATGCTTAATGCAAATAGTTGACATCAACATCAAAGTTAAATAAAAACTATGATTTCTTATATATAATAAATTTAAAATAAATTATTATATAAAATCTTGCTGACTTTTTTTTAAAGTCATTATGAAAAATATACACATATTTCTTAAAACTTAATTACAGATACTTAAAATTGCTTATAAGAAAATTCCCTTGATATAAAATTGCTCAACAATGGTTACAAATCTCTAATTAAATTTTAAAATTGGTTTTATTTTTTAATATTTTCAGTTGTACCTTTAATTTATTCAACTTCAAAAAATAGTATTAAAAGGAGAATTATTAATTATTTTTGTATTTGATGCTTCTTTTATTTATATACAGGAGTATTTATAATGATTTCTTTTAAATGTTGTTTCCCTAAACAGTTTGAAATCATATGGATCAATATATTTCTTAAATCAATAGTTGAATAAATTCAATTAATTGCTAATAAACTTAGAATGAACGTTATAAGATCAGATTCTTTAATATTTTTTATATTTTACCAGTCATCATTAAACCCTTCATCTAACTCTACCAAATTTCCAATCTTTACCTAACCTTCCTCATAACGATACAATCCACCTCTAATAATATTTTATAACTTATACTTGAGTAAAATTTACATATAGTTATATTTTCCTTTCCATATTTGTTATAACTAATTTCCCAGCCACCTAACTTCATACCTTTTGCATTATATTCACCATTAAAAGTTACTTATTTCTTTAAGCAATCAAATTTATTAAAGATTTTGATACAAATGAAGTTATTAATTTGCCATATCTTCGCCATATATTCATAACGTTACAATTGGTTATATTTA